GGGACTAGTGGAACAAAAATAGTCTCTCTTACACAGGTCAGCTCAGAGGAGCAAAGCCCCTGAACATTAGGGTCACAGAGCATAGGATAGTTTAAGGCTACAGCTGGTAGGAGTCCCTCGGCAAGAGTCAGTTACAAAGGGTAGGGCTAGGCTTAGGGCTTTGTGGCTTAGGGTTGGAGTTAAAGAAGGTGGGATGCTCTAGGGTGGGATCCCAGCCTGCCGTTAGGATCAGGGCTAATCTGGGATAGCGTTAGGTTAGGGACTATAGAGCTCCAGGCTAAGCACCTCTACTCACTTTACCTGTAAAAGGAGAAAGCAAATGAGACATGGGAGTAGAAGAAACACATGCAAGAAAAGGAGCCCGAGCTCTCCCGAACAAATTCATTCCTGAGTGATGTGTGCACAGAGATGTCTACACTTTGAACTGGAGGGGTCATTGCTAGTTTGGCAGTGCATAGTGGACGCTGGAGGCCAAATCTCAAACCACTGGAGGGGGGAAGTGGCAGTGTTGGGATCCCTGGAAACATCTCCTTCCCCATTATGGCCCTGGGGCTGGAGGAGCCCTCGCTACCCATCATGGCCCCAAAACTTCAGCTGGGGCTCAGATCTTTTTCCAGTGCCAGTGCTGCAGCTGGGAGGTGGGGTGTGAGGATATGCAGGAGAAGGGGAGGAACTGGGGAGACTGGCTCAGAATTCTAGCTAGAACTAGTTTGGGGCATTTGAATTTTTTTTTTTTTAACATGAACTGAGTGAAATGACAAAATCTCAACACTTTCCATTCCAGTAGAAAGTACAATTCTTTGTATCAGCCTTCACAAATAAAAAACATCTCTCTATTTCACACGCACACAGTCACAAACTTCAGAAGCAAAAGCCCCTTCCTCATGCACATACACAGATATGAAAAACTGCCCATTAAAAGGACAATTGAAGATGGAGCCACATGTCAATGTAAATACAGCTCACACCAGGATGGGGAGAGACTATGAGTTGTGGCTATGTAAATCCCATTCAGCCAGGGCTGATGGAGGGTCAGTGTTGGAATGGTATGTGGAGAATTGTAAATAATGGGCTAATCTGGGATAGCGTTAGGTTAGGGACTATAGAGCTCCATGCTAAGCACCTCTACTCACTTCACCTGTAAAAGGAGAAATCAAATGAGACATGCGAGAGCGTTAGGTTAGGGACTATAGAGCTCCAGGCTAAGCACCTCTACTCACTTTACCTGTAAAAGGAGAAAGCAAATGAGACATGGGAGTAGAAGAAACACATGCAAGAAAAGGAGCCCGAGCTCTCCCGAACAAATTCATTCCTGAGTGATGTGTGCACAGAGATGTCTACACTTTGAACTGGAGGGGTCATTGCTAGTTTGGTAGCATTGGCAGTGCATAGTGGACGCTGGAGGCCAAATCTCAAACCACTGGAGGGGGGAAGTGGCAGTGTTGGGATCCCTGGAAACATCTCCTTCCCCATTATGGCCCTGGGGCTGGAGGAGCCCTCGCTACCCATCATGGCCCCAAAACTTCAGCTGGGGCTCAGATCTTTTCCCAGTGCCAGTGCTGCAGCTGGGAGGTGGGGTGTGAGGATATGCAGGAGAAGGGGAGGAACTGGGGAGACTGGCTCAGAATTCTAGCTAGAACTAGTTTGGGGCATTTGAATTTTTTTTTAACATGAACCGAGCGAAATGACAAAATCTCAACACTTTCCATTCCAGTAGAAAGTACAATTCTTTGTATCAGCCTTCACAAATAAAAAACATCTCTCTATTTCACACGCACACAGTCACAAACTTCAGAAGCAAAAGCCCCTTCCTCATGCACATACACAGATATGAAAAACTGCCCATTAAAAGGACAATTGAAGATGGAGCCACATGTCAATGATAGTAGCTTGGCTGTTTGATGCTTTATTGGAAGGACAACACTGAGATATCACAATCAGGGCCACGATATAAAACCGAGTTAGAACAGAAGGCTCTGTGTTAGGCACGAGTCTCTGTAAGGCTGAAAGAGATAACCCAATGTTTGTGTGACCTCTATGACAATTTCCTGCATTATTTTTAGCATCCATTGTTTTAACTGAAACGTTTTCATGATTGTGTCCTGCTCCATGGTGGAGGACTACCCGTCAGCTTTCCAGGAACTAAAAAGAGTGGATGGCAATTAAGGAAAATCAACCAGGTTGTAATTGACTCCCCCTCCAGAGAGAAAGGCTCTAACCTGGGGCAGGATCAGACTTGATTCTCCAGAGACCAATGGACACAGAAAGATATTTTTTCATCCACAGCCTGAATTTAAAATGGCATAGGGTCTTTGGTCTCATACAGCAAACAGAAAGGAACTTCTGCCTAGTGGGGGAGGGAAGCAGTGTTTAGGGAAGCATGGAGAGATTGATATCTACCAGAGCCCTTGAGAAGATGACGGGGGTCAGGAATGATCTGTGGTAAGCTTGTTAGCTTGTGCACAGCAGGTTTTTTATTGTTTTAATAGGTTATGTTTGTGATGCTTTTACCTTAAAAATAAATGTGCTTGCTTAAAAAGAGCTGGGAGGGCACTTACACCATTCACAGCCTTCCAAGAAAAAGCCAAGCAGAGACATTGCCTGTGTAGACTACCTGTCTTGCTGGGGAACTCAGTGTAATCAGGGAACTGTGCAGCCTGGATATACCCTGGTCAGGAGGGAGAAAGATGTGGGTGTTTGTCCAAGAGAGGTGATGACTGGAGACCTGGAAGCTTGAGAGTGGGTGGCTTTGCTGGACCAGGGACAAGGAACACAGGTGCAGTTATGATGTTTTGAAGTTATGATGTTTTGAAGTTTCCTCAGGAAGTCGGTGGTATCGCGGAGGTAAACAAATTAACACTAACACCCGACCAGGAACTTTCTATCTGCTACCCAAAATACACAAACCTGGTAAGCCTGGATGGCCCATTATCATCTCAAGCATTGGCACACTCACCACAGGATTATCTGGCTATATCGACTCCCTCCTCAGACCCTATGCTACCAGCACTCATAGCTACCTCCGTGACACCACTGACTTCCTGAGGAAACTTCAAAGCATCAGTAATCTTCCTGAAAATACCATCCTGGCCACTATGGACATAGAAGCTTTTTACACCAACATTCTACATGAAGACAGATTGCACCTGATTACAGAGCTCTGCGACTTTGTCCTCATCCACAACTACTTCCAATTCGGAAACAATTTCTATCTCCAAGTCAGCGGCACAGCCATGGGCACTCGCATGGCACCACAATGCGCCAACATCTTTATGGCTGACCTTGAACAACGTTTCCTCAGCTCTCACCCCCTAATACCCTTATTTTACTTATGCTACATCAATGACATCTTCATCATATGGACCCATGGAAAAGACATTCTTGAAGAATTCCACAAGGATTTCAACAACTTCCACCCCACCATCAACCTCAGCCTGGACCAGTCCACAGGAGAAATCCACTTCCTGGATACTACAGTACAGTTAAATAATGGACAAATTTCCACCACCCTATATCAGAAACCCACCGACCGCTACACTTACCTTCATGCCTCCAGCTTCCATCCCAGACCCATTTCTCAGTCTATAGAAACTGGCGAATTCATCACTGGAGCCAACAACATAAGCTACCAAATCAAAAGGTCATTTGACTGTACATCCAGTAATTTGATCTATGCCAGCAAATGCCAGCAGTGCCCCACTGCTATGTATATTGGACAAACTGGATAGTCTCTGCGGGAAAGAATCAATGGACACAAATCAGATATACATAAAAGAAACATACAGAAACCTATTGGGGAACATTTCAATCTTCCGAATCAATCTTTAAAAGATCTGTAGGTAGCTGTCTTGTTACAAACCAGTTCTACATGCCAGATCCACAGGGAAGCATTGGAATTAGAGTTCATCCACAAATTCAACTCACGTGCTAATGGACTCAGTCGTGATGAAAGTTGTTTGAGACACTATCAACTTAACATCCATTAAAGCTCCTCTTTCTGTGGACTCCCATGTCAGGAAGGACACTATCTATTGACTTTGATTCTTATCTGCTTTGTTTTAACTACCCAATCTTCAGATACTTACTGATTCCCTCTGCTCTCTGTCTCCCACCCCCCTTTCTTTTTCTTCCCTCCCCTTCCCCTCTCCTATTTATTTTGAGTGTTCACATCCTAAACTCATAACTCCGGACATCTGAAGAAGTGGGCTGTGCCCACGAAAGCTCATGATACCATTTACATGTTTTGTTAGTGTATAAAGTGCTACCAGACCATTTGTTGTTGTTGTTTTTTTCAATTGTAGGCAGGAGCCAGTGTGGGCAGGGAGCAAGCTTTTAAGTCAGCTCCCTGCATGCACCAGCTCCCACAGAGCCATCTGTTCCCCCACCCACCATGTAACCACTGAAATTTTCCAGTGGTTACACAATTAAACACCCCTAATTTCCAGTCTTCATCCAGATAAAATTTACTACCTTCCTTTTTCTTCTAGGCCTTTCCTCCCTATCTCCCTGCACCTCTCTGGTGACCAACAGTTTTTCCTTTGCAGCTGAGTTCACAGAGGCCCTAATATTTAAAGTAACACATAAGTGGGGTAGAAAGAGCCATGTTGGCTCTTTTTAAGACAGATTTTCTCTCTTATTTAAAACTATCTTCAGTCACATTTCTCTTCAGAAGCTTCCCTTCTCCCTGCGAGCATCCAGATAGGGAGCTGGAGCAGCAGAGCATTTTAAGGCATTCAGCATTATAGGACACAAGGTGGCAGAGTCTGAGAGCATCCAGTGTCCAGCATGAACCTACCATGTCAGCATTATTAGCACCATGCTCTAACCAGCTGAGCTAGCCAGCTACCATGGGTTACACCCCAAAACACAACATCCTCCATACATCATTATTTCACCCTACGACCAGGGACAGACGTAAGCAGACGTTAACACAACATCCTCCATACATCATTATTTCACCCTATGACCAGGGACAGACGTGAGCAGAAAGCTGACGTTGCTATGTGGGAGTAAATAAATAGCCTAAGAACGGTCTGCATTTCAACCCAGGAAATGTTATTTCCCCTATTGAGTGGCAGCTGGTTGTATTCTATATCCCACACGAGGACAGCAGAAGAAGCAGCAATATTTACTCATGGTCTCATTTATCCAAGGAACTCTGTAAGTACCATCCTTCTGGTATCTGAGTGACATTTAAGATGCTTAAAGGTTACAGTTGAATGGGTAACAGCCATAAAGCTAGAAAAAGGAAAGTTTAGATTAGTCATTATGGGAGTGGAGGGAGGAAATCTTGCTGTGCAGAATAATTTGCCATGAGAACTAATCAAGCACCACCACCAGAAATCTTTAAGGATGGATTGAAACATTCATGGATTTAGTGTATATGACCATCAGGCACTACAGCAAAGGGACAGAACCTATCTACCTTATAATATGACAGTCTGCAAGGGTTTTGTTTTTATTTTAATTTATATTCAAGATTTCACAAAGAATAAAGCCCATGGTGACAGGGTAGATTACTGTCCAATAAGATCCAAAACCAAAACCAATGCCTATGCAAGTCCCTTTAATACAGAGAAGATGGCAAAGAGGAGAAAGGAAACAAGTAAACATAGTGCAGAAAGATGATCTTACGGTAAAGACACCGAGCAAAAGATCTGATTCCTGGTGTTGCCACAGACTCTACATAGGACCCATGGCAAATTGCTTCATCTGTCTAGGACTCAGCTCCCCTTCTGTAAAACTGGATTCATTAATACATAAAGGCAGGCTGCCCTCACAGGGGGCTGTGGAGATACATGTCTTTATGTTTGTGACATGCTGCTCTAATACAGCGATGTAGATCAAACAGGTACCTGTAATGAGATAGCTGCATCTCCAGAAAGATGAGCAGGTGCTTCCACATATATTCCAGTGCAACAACCCATCAGTGGGAGTAGCACACCCTGTGGGGAGTGAATTGGTTAAGCTACAACCAAAGAGAAATATAGTCGCTATCTACAAATGGATGAAGAATGTTATTAAATTGTCAAGGAGGAAAAGGTGTTGTTTTAAGAAGAGTTAAGGCTTAATACTGGGTGGGTTGGAATGGCCCTTACTGAAAGTTTGGCTAGACAGTTCTGGAGAAAATAGGCTGCAGTGTACTGCACTAGCAGGCAGATGAGGTAGCTGATTTAACAAGTCTTTCATCTCTAATTTTAAGGATGGTTAAGGACACTGAGGCAAATCTCTGTTGCTATGAAAGGTGCCATGGAATCTTTAATATTCATGCAGAGCAGCCATTACCAGCCTGGCTTTCACAAGTGCTGAGCAGCACGGGTCCTGTTTTATCTGACAAGAACTGAGGATGTTGCTCACCTTTGCCGGTCAGGGTACTAATACCAATACATTTCCAGCCCGTCAGGCCAGTGCAATCTGAACAAACTCTGTCTTCAACAGAACACAGAAAAGAAATCTGAATAATTAGAGAGGAGGGACGGCCCTGTAGAAAGAACTACCGGCAGAGTACAGGTAAGGAAAAACTGGGTGGGGGGAGGAACTGAGTCAGTATCAGTCTATTCATCTTAAAGATAGTCAAGGAATCATCTAGCACAATGGTCACCAATCAGTGGATCGGGATCTACCGGTAGGTCTTGGAGCCTCTGACAGGTGATCCTGACTGGTTTGGCCAAGAGACTATCAAGTGCAGCGCTTCAGCTGCCCCTCCTCACTACTGCTGTGCATCTCCTGCCCTTTGCCTTGGAGCTGCCTCCCCCCACTTCCAGGAGCCTCCTGCTAGTTGTGCAGGGCAGGGGAAAGGAAGGAGCTGATAACAAAGTGCCCCATCTCCCAGCCTGTATCCTATTTTCACAGAGTAAGGCGGGGGGCACTACAGGGCTTGGGATGGAGGGAGTTTTCTGGCTGCCTTTGGGAGTGGTGCCGGGCCAGGGCAGGGGTGAGCCTGCCTTAGCCCCCCCTGCACCACCTCCCAGGAGACACCTGAGGTGAGCAGTGCCCAGGCAGAGCTCACATCCTGAAACCTTACCCCAGTCATGAACCCCCTCCTGCACCCCAAGCCTCTGCCCTACCCCCGAGCACCCTGGACCAAAACTCCCTTACAGAGCCTGCACCTAGAATCCTCTCCAGCACCACAACTGCCTGCCCCAAGCTCAGCTCAGAGCCCCTCTCAAATTCCAAATCCCTTAACCCAAGACCAGAGCCTGGCCCCCAGCCCGCTGCCCCTGCCTGGTGAAAGTGAGGGAGGATGGGGGAGGGAGGAAGAGAGGATGGAGTGAGCAGGGGCAGGGGGTGTTTGAGGTAGATTTTGAATTGTACTTAAATTGTGGAAGTGAGCTCATGCTTAAAAAGGTTGGAGACCACTGGTCTAGCAAACCTCTTTACCACAGAAAATTAATTTCTAAAAAATAGGAACTTCAGGGGGGAACTCAGCAGATGAGAGGAAACAAATGTAGCAGGGGCACAACCAGAAATTTCCTAAAGAAGCAGGCCCAGCATTTTCCCTCTGCTGCTCCCCCACCCTGTCCTGAGCTCTCTCACACTGCCTCTGCACCCAGTCTGCAGTCTCAGTCCGCACCCAGCTCTACACCCTCCCCACCTACTGACCTTGACCCAGCACCACGCTCTTTTCCCCACATTGCTCTGCACCCAGCTCTGAGCTCTCCCTCACCCTGCACCTCACCCCACAGTCTCTCCATCCCACAGCCAGTCCCTAGCTCTGGCCCAGAGAGGCAATCAGACTGAAGAACACCATCGCAACCAGGGACCAAGCAGTTCTGGGAGCCTTCTGTGTCCCTGTTTCCTCAGAAAACGCTAAAAGCCCAGATCCAACCCTTCTACCCATCTGGGGTTTCCCAAGGCCCCTGATCTGCTTCTCCATAAGGACTGGGGTGCCCAGTGGTCCAGAGAAATTAGCAAAGATGTACAGGGGGCAGCATAAGCACAAGCTAACAATGCCCCTCAAATCTAGTCTGGTTACCCCCTGTCATCCCAGGAGTGAAGGGGCTCTGCTGTTATGACTCCCAAGTTTGGTAAGGGGCCAAGGAGACACCTAGGCCCTCAGGACACCCCCCCTCCCCCACCATCAAACCCTTGGAATGTAGTTCACATTTCCAAAAAAGAACAGAAGCACGAGCCTAGCAATTCTCATCCTGTCAGGCCAACCGCAAAACTCCAGCCACCTTGATGGAATTATCAAGCATTCAATGGAAGCTAGGTGCAGAGGTGCTTGTAAAAACCCCACCAAGGGCCTGTCTGCAGCTTTATGCACCAGTGCAGCATTTGCAGTGTAGCCCTGCCCTAAGTTACTTTTGAAAATGGGACTTAGACATCTAACACACTTGAAACACTCATAGGCAATGGGAGAAGGTAGGGCTAGAGGAGGTAAAACCCCAGCCACACACCTCCTCCAGCTCTGCCCCCTAGCACTACAGGAAGGGAGGAGGAGGTATGATGACCCCAGCCTCCCTGGCCCTAGAGCACAGGTAGGGCGGGTGCAGGGGGCAGCAACACTCTCCCTCAGTACGCTTACAGTAGGCATTCTGGGGGTAAAGTATGAGTGGAGCATACCCACTGAGCATACCCACCACCCATGGAAGCATTTCTGAAAGTTTTAGCCCATGTCTCTGCCTTTGGACAGTAAAGCGCCTTGTAAAAGAGCAGGATACATTTTAGAAAAAAGAAATTCACCACACATCTAGGGTATGTCTACACTACAAAGTTAGTTCGAACTAACTTTCATAGGTGCTACACTAGAGCTCCGTTAGTTCGAATTAAGTTCGAACTAACGGAGCGCTTAGTTCGAACTAGGTAAACCTCATTCCACGAGGATTAAGCCTAGTTCGAACTTACTAGTTCGAATTAAGGGCTGTGTAGACCCTTAATTCGAACTAGTGGGAGGCTAGCCCTCCCCAGGTTTCCCTGGTGGCCACTCTGGCCAACACCAGGGAAACTCTATTGCCCCCCTCCCGGCCCCGGACCCCTTAAAGGGGCACGGGCTGGCTACGGTGCCCGTGCCAGGTGCAAGCCTGCCAGCACCCAGCCAG